CAGGAGTCACTGGCCTCCTAAGACTCTGCAAGAAACTTATTTCTCCTAAATATCCAGTTTAAAATTCTTTGAGGCTCTTCCCTTCATTTTTACCCATCTCCCCAAAACACCCTCAGCCAAGGGGCCCCACCACCAGCTTCAGCACTTACTGGCTCAGCCACAATGGGATCTGGGCTCTCATCCATCCTTTTGGGATGCAGCAAAAAGGCTGTACCACACATGTACTCCCAACAGGCGCTGTTGTCACAGGAGCCTCTGCGATGTGATTCACTCAGCAGAGCCACAATAACACGTTACCAAACAAGCCTGCAGCTGCAGAGACCTGTGATCCCAAAACACTGAGGAGCCTCCCAGATCCACCTGGTTGCCACTGCTCTCCTGGGGCAGAGGGGAGACTAGGGGGTGCAAGGATCTGCCCCCGCCATGTGACTTGGGTTTCTAAGTATGAAAAAGGCTGAGATTTCCCAAAATGGAGGAAGGTAACTGGACATCCAGCTCCTCATCAGCGAGATGTCACTGACGGGATCTCAGAGCAGGTATTGCTGGCTGTGACACCCCAAGTGTCACAGTGCTGGGCACCCTGCAAGCTCCTCCCTGCTCTGAAATAACAGGCAGCAAGACCTTCTTCTCTCCTGCCTCAAGGAAGCCCTGTAAAAACCTTCCTTTCTACCAGCACTGCCAGCAGAAGAATTGGGGTGGGGGATGCTGGGGAGTATGAACAAGCAGCACCCCGAAAGCCCACACTCATGGAGTAACAGAGGTGGTAATGTTGGTAGGTTTGAACTGCAGAGATTCAAAGATTCCCAGACCCACCCCGTTACATCACAGCTTGCCGTGGAGGTGACCTACATCTAGTGCTGTGCTGACTTTCCAGCTAAGGCAACGGGTCTGTGCTGAGCATCACCAGATGGCTGCTGAGGCTGGAGTCAGGGACCCGCTGCTCCCTGGTCCCTTTCAGGAGGCCTCTAGTGTCAGGCAGGTCTCTGCTGACTCCCAGCTCCCCGTGGGATGATGGTAAGGCCAGCACGGGTAACATGTGTGGTGGCCCTGCAGGATGCTGGCTCTGAGGCCAACCTTGCATCATAAATTAAGCACCATTTCCAGGCACTGGTGCTGCATTTACTGTGGCAAAGTGGGGCTGGCAGCATCATCTTGCTAAAGGGCCAGCAGCTCCCACTGGGGTAAGCAGGGTCCACTGGGCTGGCCAGTAGCCAACCAGTGATTATCTGGAGACATCGTTGCTGGTGATGTCTCCATGATCCCAACCCTGGCAGCTCTTCCTCCTGCTCTGGTTCAAACACAGTGCTGATGCAGCTCTGCCAGAGAACTGCAGGTCGGGATCAGCAGCCCCGTGACAGCAGGGCACTGGAAACTGGTGTCTGCCTGCACCCACAGCCTGGCAATAAAGCGACGGACTTGGTGAAAACAAGATCTGTAAAATGGGGCTATGAATTCTGCATTTCTCTTCTGCTGCAGCTATTTTTGATCTACGACATCGTTAGACATTAGGGACATAAGCCAGCTGGCGGCCCCAGTGACTAATGAGTGACTGATAGTGCTCCCCAGCCTCCCGGCTCCAGGCATGTCAGGAGGCCTCCTGTGTTACGCATTACACTACTTTTTTGTTTGTTTACTTAGAAAAACAAAAGATAAAAAGTTGACCATGTATTTTCTCCCAAGCAAAGAGAGCTGCTCTGTGGGCTGCTCTGAGCAGGGCACTGCAAACTGGCCCATTGTGCAATCCTGAACCACAAAAAAACCCCAAACGTTCTTGTGGGTTGACCATTTATCAGTGGTTATGTTTGAAAACGAAGGGGAGCCCACAAGAAGTTGTGCACCCTGAAAGTGGTCTGCAGGCTGCAGGAGTTGGAAAACACGTCTCGAAAGCACCACCCACATGGTTGAGCTGGATTAGCACCAGCAAGCACAGGGCTACGGGAGCTGTGGCCGTGATTGCAATTTCCTCATTGCCCTGAGCTGGACTTCCCCTGTCCTTCAGGGAATGGAGTGACCAAGGACAGAGCTTGCAATGTCTCCTCTTTATACTCAGAGAGTTTTTTTAAAGAGAGATATATCATTGTACACCCCGATCAAAGTCTGGCAATAAGGCAAACAGCACTAGAGAACCGTGCCCGTGCAGTTGCGCTGACGGACGGGCACAGAGGGTACGAGACGGACGCCTCGGGACGTTGCATAAAGGGACCTGCTTTCTGCTGCCAGCACCCAGCTCGGCCAGCCCACTCAGCCCTTTGGTTCCCAGCGTACCCTGAACCTCTGGCACTTGTCTCACAACGGGCGATGAATAAGTGTCTGTGCTGCAGAAGGAGAGCTGACTGCTGTCATAGAAACGCCGGTGGAGAAAGGACTTTCTGCCTCCGCGGCCCCAACCCCCTGCTCCAGACACATTGTATAACCCCTTTTATTTAAGCATTACTCTCCAAGAAATCCACTTACAGCCACACATTAAAGCAGATCCACCCCTCGGGGCCTGATCTTGACCCTGCAGACAAATGTCTCGCCAGAGCCGGTTGCAGAACGGGGCCGAGGGGGGACACACAGATGACACCCTGCCCTGTGCCGTAGGGCTGGCACAGGAGCTCGGCCAAGGCTGTGTCCCCGCCAGGCTCTGAGAGCGAGGACGTGTCTGTCCCAGACTGGAAAAGTCCCAACCACTTTACATAATGGCCACCCCCCAGGGCAGAGCTCTTCCTCTGACCCTGAAATATCAGCGGGCAGCAAGATGCAAGAAGCTGTTGGCTGCTCATCCCTCTCCAGCCGCTCGCTAACGCCAGAACCGTGTGGACGATGGGCTGTGGGCTGCGTGCCCGGCCCTGGCAGCCAGGATGAGCAGCGGGGCTGGCTCGGCCACCCACCCCCTCCCATCACCCGGGACACCTGTGGACACGGGAGAGATGCCCAGCAGCTCCCCATCCCCACCAGCCTTGTCCTTCCAATACCTCCAGCTCCCCAGGTCTCCCAGCTGCGGACCGTGCAGGCTCGGAGGTC